TTACGGGATAGTGACGCCCTCATTGTGGTCGGTGATTTCAATCTGCCAAATATTCCCTGGCTTTTTTTAATGGCTGTAATCACCTTAATCCCTTATCATATCATGACTTTCTTGATTCTCTCTTTTAATTGTCTTTGGTCAAATTAATTCATTTTAAATAACCTAAATAGACTGCTTGACCTCATTTTTGTAAACGATGTCAAAGATGCTGTAATCTGTAGATCTTAACCTTTATCTATTCCCGAAGATCCGTATCATCCTACTATTAAAATCTCGATTTCTCTTTACTGTAAAGCTCAATTTGTTCAAGACCCTAAGCAGTTTTACAATTTTGTGAACTGCAAACGTAAATCGTCAGCTTTGACTTCTTCTTTTTTTCTTCATAATGAAAATGCAAGCAATGATTCGGCTATTGTTGACTTATTCGCTAAGTTTTTTCAGTCAACTTATTCATCTATTAGTTTCAATGGTGATTCATACCCTTATAAAATTCCTTATTCTAATTATATTTTTTCACCCATAATTAGCAGTTCCTGCATTCTGTCAGGTCTTAAGGCAGTCAAATCTTCATACTCTCCTGGGTCAGACAACATTCCCAGTTGTGTGCTCAAGGAGTGTTCTACCTCCCAATGCCAACCATTGCTGAAGCTTTTCAATTTGTCGCTTGACACTGTAGTTTTTCCAACTATTTGAAAAAACTCCTTCATTATTCCACTCCACAGGCATGTAAGGCAGACATTTCTAACTATCTAGGTATCGCTAAGTTGTCCGCCATTATTTGAAAAAATAATTACTTCTACTTTTCAGCATCTGTGTAAGTCGGTTATCTCCTCTACTCAGCATGGTTTTATCAAATATCGTTCGACAACATCCAATTTGCTGGAATTTACATCATTGATAAATGATGCATTCCTAGCTAAAATGCAAACTGAAGTTATTTATACTGACTTCAGTAAGGCATTTGATTCAGTGAATCATGACTTACTCCTGTTGAAGCTTAATCGTATTGGGTTTCCTTCAAATTTTTTGCTTTGGATTTCGTCCTATCTTAAAAATAGGACTCAGAGAGCACTACTCAGATTGGATACCTCTCAACCTTTTCGTGTTACTTCGGGTGTACCTCAAGGTAGTCACCTAGGCCCATTGTTATTCACTTTGTTTATAAACGACTTTCCTTCCATCCTGTCACATTCTCACATACTGATGTATGCTGATGATGTGAAGCTCATTCTTTCATATAACAATCCTCTCTTTCACACTCGTTTGCAGGATGATCTGAACTCCATGCAGAGATGGTGCTTGATTAACCAATTACACCTTAACTGCTCCAAATGTAAGTTTATTTCCTTTTATTGGAGTGGTACGGCCTATTCTAGAATACTGCTCATGCGTTTGGTGTCTGCATTCATCGGACGCATCAGGATCGAATTGAGTCTGTTTGTCCTTCGCGGTTTAAACTGGGATCCCAACCTTTGTTTGCCGCCTTACTCGAGCAGACTTCTGCTTAATAATCTTCAGGTATTGGCTAATCGGCTAGCTAGCCGACGCGCAAATAATATTCCCCCACCGGGTCGGAGGCGTTAATTAGATATTATTGTAATATGATTCGATTTCTCCTTCTTAGTCTTTTCTAGCTTATAAGATGCTTTTTTTCAATTTTTATGCACTATTTCCTATGTCGACAGTCAATGTTTGTTGACATAAATAAATAAATAAATAAAATATCGGACACTCTGCATGCTTGACACCTCGGTCACGCTACTAGAAATGATGCTAAAACCTCGTCTAGCAGCAGCAATCGAAAACGGTAGAGGCTTATCGAGTAGACAACACGGTTTTCGCCCCAAAAGATCCACTATCGGTGCCATAGAAGAGGTGATGAGTACAGTAAGAGAGATACAGAGAGGTAACCACTAATCTAGACGCCTGGTGCTTTTGGCAACATTGGATATCAGGAAAGCCTTTAATAGCCCTAGGTGCGCTGACATAATAGATGCCTTGGAAAGACGATTTCAAATAACAGTGTATCTAGCCCGGATGATTCGCAGCTATCTGAGCAATCGTGAGCTGTTGTACCGTACACGCAATGGAAAGCGCCGAAAGATGCTAACATCGGGTGCAGCTCAAGGGTCCATTCTTGGTCCTGATCTTTGGAATGCTGCCTATGATGAGATCTTCTCTGTTCAGATGCCAGAAGGAGCACATTTAACCGGCTTTGCAGACGACGTTGCGGCTATCATACAGGCAAAGGATATGATAGAAGCACAAAGACTGCTGATCTGCACCGGCGCTTGACTAGAATCCCTCGGTTTGAAGCTGGCAGTAGAGAAGACTGAACTGACTATCCTAACCCGTCAACACATTCCACTAGAGGTACCGATCAATGTGGGGAGTTCTTCCATTGTCACGAAAACAACTGTGAACTATCTGGGCCTACTTCTCGACTCAAGGCTGAAGTTTTGGGCAAATATTGGTGGCCCAATTGCGAGCAAACGGCGACTTTTGATGGCTCCGAAATATGGGCAGATGCCCTTAAGTCGAAACAAAGCGCTAAGGCCCTCATTGCTTCTCAAAGAACGGCTGTACTCAGTATTGCGTCTGCATACAGAACGGAATCAGCAGCAGCGGTGCTAATAATCAGCGGCTCTATACCGATGGATCTAATAATTTAGTGTGTGCAAGCCGAACATACAACACTGTGACGGTAGTGCGAGATGCGTCAGGCATTTACCTCTCCTCATAGTATAGTTGGTATAGTATATAAGTAAAATAGTATATATTATAGTATTATTGGTAGTTGATTCCACAGGCGATCATGCTTATCGCAGAATATACAGAATTGCCGTTCAGAACAGCCAAGCTTGTGACGTATATTATGTATATTATTGCTTCTTGTGGAGGCACTAATTACCCAATTAAACAACAAGCGATGCGCATTGGCTTGAAATTGGATTTATCGAAAACCGCAGTAATCGGATATTGAAGTCGAATTGTGCTTGAATTGTGCGTTTTTATAACCTCAAAAGGAACGTTAGAATTTTCTGCTGATTTGCTTCCTCTACGGTGTCTCACAACATCATTTTGGTCCAGTCCTTCGAGTCGGATATTGGTCACGGTCACAAGGAGCTGCTTAAATATTACATTCGATAATTGGGTTGAGACAACATCACGGGTCACTGGTTCGCACAACAAACAAACGTTTCTTTTATTTGTGGCTGCATTTAATGTTGGTCTTTTATCTCAGTTGAATTATTCAAATTGATAGAAAACCTATAGTTGCTGCTGTTCTTGTCGAACCAATTTATTATTGGATTAATGAAATGAAATTGAAACTTTTTTGTGGCTACACCTATTCCAGGTTTTTTCTTCGCAACACTTCATTTTCTCGTAAAACGAACCTGGGACGCTTAAACAATTTTTTGGCGGTTGCATTTATTATTTTTGCTGTTTATCCTCGAAGCTGTTCAGCGTCTCCAACTGACTTAGCGAAATTAATTAAAGAGCAAAAAAATTCGTAAACGCCACTTGGTTGATTCTACTCACGACTCGTCCGTGTTCATCCGACACACCTATAGCAGGCCCACATGAGCTCCTTGTTCGTCAGACTCGTGTAATAGCTTAGTATACCAAGCGACAGTGAGAAAGACACCTTCGAAGTACCCACTATAATAAGAACAAGTCCGTCAAGGTCCAAAGGTCCTGTCGCAACGCCGGCTAGCCAGGGTCGGATTCGACCGCGACAGGGATGCGGCAGGACTAACAATATAATTAATATTTTTCTCTCAACACACCCACACATACTGCCGGCTGGTGGTCGCCTGAGGAATTTGGTGGTGTTGTGGCTGCTTGGTTGTTATGCAGCCGCGCGGCCCTCCCTGCTTTGAACTGGTATTAGCATTTTATTGCCGGCTTATGTATATTTGGTTTGTTTTCGTGTAGTGACTTTTGTCACCCCATCTCACCCCATAAAAAGTGATATACTCCATTTTAACAATTAAATTCATATTTTATTTACAATGGTATATTCATTAAAACATTTGGGACTCTGCAGTTTGTACAAATTATTCTGGAATCTATTTGTAATAATTTTTCTTGAGCCTCCCTCGAGTGTAAAAGCTGTAAAGAGTCTATGTATACCCAGTAAGTTTCCTTAGTTGCACCGCAACAAGGTGTACATTTTGTAATTTACATGTGCTTATAAAATATTATAATTATCGGTTATGGGTTTACAAAAAACGCGGTGTATTTAATGGTTTGTGCTTTAACTGTTTGTCTATTAGACTACAAGTATGTATTTAAATTTGTGGTTTAAAGCGTTCTATATTATTTTTAATTGTTTTGTGTTGAGTATGAATTCGATTATGGCGTAGGGATGTATATTTGTTTTGTACCAACTATTTTGTCTGCTTTGATTTTAGTCCTAATATTTTAAGGTGTTGTGTTTTAGGTTAAACAATAAAATTGTTTAATCTAATATCTATGTTTGTACATGTATATTTTTTGCATATATGTAGGTGTGATGATTTTTTGCTTAAAATTTTGGTGCCACTTGGTGCACCATTGGTTTATTTTAACAAACAGTGGAAGATTTTGCAATCTATTTGAACCGGCAACTGCCATTTATCGTAGCCCTGGCAGCTCTGGTCGACGAGTGATGCCCAACCTTGCTAATAATCGAGATACCTTTTCGATCCCTTTTATGGCTCGATAAAAATACCAAAGAGTGCGACTTGAGCGACCGAAGTGAGAGGACGTGTGGTGTATGCGCCGAAGAGTGCGAGTTGAGCGACCGAAGTGAGAGGACGTGTGGTGTGTGCGCGGAAGAGTTCGAGTTGAGCGACCGAGGCAAGCGGACGTGTGGGTGCACGGAACAATAGCGAGTTAGAAGCAGTGCTGCCATTTTTTTAACAAAAAAAAAGCTGTTTCTAACTAGAAGAAAGGGCAAAAAAAGCGGAAAATTTTCCGAAATAAGACTAAAAAAAGCGTTTTTATGGTTTTACTAATTAATTTTTTTTTAAGTTAATATTTAATATGTTTTTTACATTAACTCCATTATCTCATCAAGTTCTGCGGGATTTACTTCAGATTCGCAATCGTACGACATGGACGTACCAATCATGCGTACCAATCATTCGTAGTCAAAGCAGCATTTCCCAAGTCTTCGCAAGCCATACCTGTATATACACATTAAAATTAGTAATATCCTTTCACTCACAATTAAACTTTACCTTATGAGTAAAATACTGTTGAGTGTGCTCAGGTTAATGGAATTCCTTAATTTTGACTTGATCAGATTAACCTGGCTAAACACGCGCTCAATTTCCGCATTTGACCACGGCAATGATAGCATCTGCGGTTGCCACCAGAATATTTGTAACAGAAAACCTCTGTCCAAAACCTTGATGTGTTGCTGGTATTTTCCCATTTAATCAATTGAATATCGCTATATTGGCGTTCAATTTCAGAAATGTTTTCTACTTTAAGATACTCCAAAATTTCGCTTATCCCTTTTTTCTTAGCGCACAAGATTTTGTCGACAGAAAAAACGTCAACCTGCTTTAAAGTTTCAAAATTATCTGGTAGTCTGAAATTTATAATCAAATTATTTCATCGCCTACAAGAGAATAACACAATATTGCTTACCTCTGTTTTAATTGCTTAATCAGCTCAATCACGAAATTTGTGCAGCGGTCACGAAGCATTTCTCCCACATTAGAGCTAATATTTAGAGTTTTAATCTTTTTTTCAAAGTCGTATCCTTTATAAAGATTCCTATCCGCATGTTTTTCAATGTCGTCCGTTTCAAAAATAATAATTTCCGTTTCAGAAGGAATGATTGCAATTTTCAACGAATTTATTGCAAAAGTTAAATCGTTCATCACTATACATTTGATTTAACATTTGAGCTTTAAAGCATTTTTCTTTCGTTGCTGCTAATCCAAAATGCAACTTTAGTTCTTCCCACTGTTCCAATATACGAGATACTGCCAATTCCATTGAGAGCCATCTTGTGTCACTCACTTTCGGAATTTTCAATGGGGCCTTGTGTAATATAAAATAAAAACAAGTAAAAAAGCTAAAGTCGGGTGTCCCGACTTTGAAATACTCTGTACATATGTTTACAATAATTATAGAAAATAAAAAAAAGTAAGAAAATAAAAAAAAAAAATTTGATCGATTTTACCTCTCTCGGTATTCGAACTCACGTAAACGGTTTATAATTGCACATTTACATAGCAATTGCGTCTGTGTGTATGTATGCCTATGCGCATCTATTCGTGTCTGTGTAAACATGTGTTCAGTGAACCAAAGCACCAGCATCAACAACAGTCGCGGGCAGCGCTTGAGCAGCGCTGCAGCAGCAAATATATTTATGGCTATAACTTCTTGTTAAATCGGTCTATCATAGTGAAACTTGGCATACGGACACATAATAACCAACTGGGGGTATTTCCAAAATTGTAGTACGAAATTCCAAGAATTACGGGAGTTAGAGAAAATTGCGATTTGCGGGGGAGAGGGGGGAGGGAGGGAAATATACATTTTCTGCGTATTCACACAAGGCATCTTGGTGTTCCTAGGTCTTATAGTCTCCGAGATATAGGCGATTATACGAATGGAAAATCGGGAAAACCCCCATAGGGGGAAGTGGGGGGGGGGGGGGAAATCAAAAAAATAAAACAAACTCGTATAGAATACACACATAACGCATCTTTGTGCAAAATTTGGTGTCTCTATCTCTTATAGTCTCTGAGATCCAGGTGTTCATACGGACGGACAGACGGACAGACAGACAGACAGGGCTAGATCGACTCGTCTTGTCACGCTGATCAAGAATATATATACTTTGTGGGGTCTGCCACGCCTCCTTCTGCCTGTTACATTTTTCAGCTCCCGCAAACCTAATATACTCTTGTACATTTCATGTACAGAGTATAAATAGTTATAATTTAGTGAATAACAATTTTACTGAAACAAGTACATACGAAGACTTTGAAAATCTACAACGTCATGAAAGACAATACACACATAAATATAATTTGCACAATAATAGTATTAATCGATCAAATAAACAGGGCACTTTGAATGTACAGTACTCACACTTAGGTAAGTACATATGTATGTTAAAACATAAATTCAATAACATACAACATGGGAAAGCAACTCACATACCTTATCATCGTTTATACATTTATAAAAATTTTTTATATTCAGTTTGGCGAGATGAACTTTTTGAAAACTAATTAAAGGTTTCGTAAATTAAAAATTTCAAATTATCTGGCATATGTTGTTTGCAAACTTCACTAACAGCAAGCTGCACAGAATGGCAGACACATTTTATTAATATAAGTGCTGGTGCTTCCTTTTTTAGTTCTGTGTAGACACTTTTGTTCCTGCCTACCATAACGTTAGCGTTATCAGTTCCAATACCTATTAGGTTTTTTATATCTAATTTATTAAGTATCAATACATTTTTAACACCTTCAACAATGCATGTTGCATTTCCAAATTCTAATGGCACGAGACTAAGGAATGTGGAGACGAATACACGACGCCGGACGGAATAATAATTGATGACCACACCTAAGTATACACATTTATACATACAAAATACATATATAAAATTTAAAAAACATAAACAATTATTAATATAAACAAATACCTAAGAGTTTTGTAATGCTGATGTCCGTTGATTCGTCAAGTAAAAGACTGAATTTTGAGTCTCCGATATCGCTGCATAAGTCTTCCAAAAAATGACGCCCCAAAACATTTTTGATGATTTTGGTGCATTTTGTGCGGTGCAGTTCCACCGTCAAAATGTTTGCTGCACAAGTTGGCCAAATGATCAATTTGCGCCATTGCTGTGTGTTGAGCAATAAAGAGACACAGTGCTGCTTGCTGCTCCAAGGTTTTGGCAGGTAAACTGACAAAGTCTATTTTGTTTTTTTTTTTGTATAAAGCCACTCATTGCACTTGTGTGCTTTTTATACCCTGTGCCCAAAGGGTGAAAGGGTATACTAGTTTTGTGCGAATGTATGTAACAGGCAGAAAGAGGCGTGGCACACCCCACAAAGTATATATATTTTTGATCAGGATGACAAGACGAGTCGATATAGCCATGTCCGTCTGTCTGTATGAGCGCAAGTATCTCAGTAAGTACAAGAGCTAGGATAACCAAAATTGGTATAAGGTTCCTATAAGCCCTAGGCAGATCGAGTTTGTTTATTTTTTCTGATACACCCCCCCACTCAACCCATATTAACGACTTTCTATAACTCCCGTAATTCTTGGAATTTAAAATTTGGTAGTCACATTAGGTTAGTGATTATATAGCCGTATACCAAGTTTCATTAATAGAATTAATAGAATGATCGGAAAGAAAGTTATAGCCACATAACCAGTCCCAATGCACACATACATACATATGTACAAGTACACAAACACGCATAGATACGATTCTGATCTAAATGGAAATGTATGTATGCATGTATGGAATATTTTATATTTAATTTAGTTAATTAATTAAATTAATTTAGTTTTTTTTATTTTAATAATTAATTAATTAATTTAATTAATTTAATTTCTTTTTTGTGGGGTGGTACAGGGTATATAAGAGTTGAGCCTGCTCGACTTTAGCATTCCTTTCTTGTTTGTAGTAGCATGAGCGCACAAATCACTAAGTTTGGCTGTTATTGTAATCTTGCAATAACTGCAGAAAACTCTATGCTCATCCGTGTTATCCTTGCGAATCCAATCCTTAAATTCTGTGCTCGGTACTTTTGCTTTCCTTTGGCATTTTGTATTAATATTGGAGAGCACTTTGGGTATAGAGATGATAGTTTGCCCTAAACTAACGGGGGCATTGACAAATATCGATAACAATTATGATAAGCCTACCAGTTTTTTATAGTTTTTGTGTGACCAGTGGCAAAATTAAAAAAAGCGAGTAAAAAGCTAAACACATTTTCAAAAAATCCAGAATTCCCGCTTCGGTCTTCTAAAACAGCCAGATTTGACGGGAAAAAAGCGAAATTGGCAGCCCCGGTTAGAAGTGTGTGACGTGCGGCAATCCCCAGTCTCAACAGTATACATAGAGGAGACGTGCAGCAATCCCCAGTCTCAACAGTACACATCTAGGAGACGTGCGGCAATCCCCAGTCTCAATAAATACACTTAAGGACGTGCGGCAATCCCCTGTCTTAAGTTTTCTTTTCGGAAGTTCTCAACTCGCAAACTTCAGCCATACATACATTCTACTATCGAACTGATTTGCTGTGGTGTACATCTACATACATACATTCCTAGAAAGGGTAACGGACAACCACTCTCGGCGTTGCCAAGGTCCAAGTGACGACGCATCAGTCTTCGGCGTCACTTATACATACATGCAACGATTACGCCACTCTCAGCATACACATCGAAAGTAACGGTAAAACATTGAGTTACTCACACATACGAGCATCGGCGTCTGAGTTTTGGCGACAGACATAGCAACAAGACGTAACGGCACATCATCGGCGCCAAACATACACACGAAGTTGGCTGGATAGCGACAGCGCCTCAGCGACAACACACAGGCGTCTCATAGCAGCGAAAATAGCGGCGAAACATCGGCGCCGAATATACACACGAATTTGGCTGGATAGCGACAGCGCGTCAGCGACGACACACAAACGAAACATCGGCGTCACACACATACATCTCAACGATTCGCACAATTGAAGGCAAGAAGAAACAACACGCTACAATACGCTACAAGGCTACATACAGGAAAAGGGGTGAGTGTTTGTTTTTGGTTCTTGCTTGTGTTGCGATCAATAGTTTCTGTCTAAGTTTTATTCGATTTAGATATAGGTGAACAGGTACGCTGTTTATACAACAACTTTAAAAGGGAAAATTCATAGTCAAAATCTAGAACATTCTATACACACTTTCTTAAAAGGTTAGATGAATATGCCGCCGAGTTCATACATTGGGATCTCCTAATCTCCCAATGCCCACGTGATCATAAATATTTCACGCAACGTATTGCTGAAACCTTTGATGAGTACCATACAAACATATACTGCGTAATTTTGGAAGCTTATGAACAAACATTCCCTCCAATAGTTGAAATGGCAAATGAACATCGCCTTCGTCTAGCGTACAACTGCCTGTACCCACCTTTTCTGGCAAATTTGTAGAGTGGCCAGCATTTTACGATTCGTTTGCCCAACTCATACATGACAATGACCCATTATCAGGCTTTCAGAAGTTCCATTTCCTTAAGCAAGCCTTTCCAACAGGTTGCGACAGCGATATTCATCAAATGGACTTCACCGATACCATCTACGAAACAGCTTGGTCTTTGAGTGTCAAACGATACAACAATCCACGTCTACAGTTCATGCATCAGATGAACACATTTTTTGGTTTGCCTTCTCTAGCTAAGGAACATTCGGCCGATCTCAAGAGGATGCTCAATGTCACAAATGTATGCATCAACGAATTAAAACGTCTCAAAATCGACATGAAGTCTTGCGATCATTGGATGGTACATCAACTTGTAACTAAACTTCCGTCGACAACTCTACAAGCATGGGCGCACTTTCTTGGTAGCTCGTCTAACGTTCCTATATTTAGTACGTTGGAGCAATTTCTCAATAATCGCCTCATTAGCCTCGATATTATTGAGAATCGATCCAGCAGCAAACAACGTCGTGAAGCGGCTCCAACAACTCAGCAACGTACATCCAACAACTATTCAGGTAATAGATTTCAGAAACGAAATAGTTTTCACACAACCACAAACAGCATAGCTTCACATCGGTGTGTGAATTGCAACGACAGCTCACATGTATTGCGTCGTTGTCCTGACTTTCTCGCACAAGATTGTTTCACTCGCAAATCTATTGCTGAACGCGCCAAGGTATGTTTCAATTGTCTTGATTCCGCACATACAGCATCGAAATGTGGCAGCAAACGGAACTGTCAACAATGTGGACAACGACATCATACGCTCTTGCATTTTCCAGCCAACAAACCAGACTAC